TCAAGTTGAGGGGTTTAGGTTTAACTTAGGCTTAAGGTTTTATTCAAAAGGTTCTCCTATGTTCAACCTATAGGTTAGGTTCTAACATAAGGTTTAGAGTAGGTTTAGCTTAAGGCTAAGTTATGATTCAGAGTTGGATTAGGGTTAACTAACCTAAGGTTTAGGTTAACTAATCCTATTAGTTTTGGGTTAACTAACCTAGGGTTAAGGTTAGGTAATCCTATTGGTTTAGGGCTAACTATCCTATGGTTTAGGTTAGATAATCCTATTCGTTTAGGGTTAACTAACATAAGGTTTGGGTTAACTAATCCTATTGGTTTAGGGTTAACTAACATAAGGTTTAAGGTTTAGCTAATCCTATTGGTTTTAGGGCTAACTAACATAGATTTTAGGCTTAGCTAATCCTATTGGTTTAGGGTTAACTAACATAAGGTTTAAGGTTTAGCTAATCCTATTGGTTTTAGGGCTAACTAACATAGATTTTAGGCTTAGCTAATCCTATTGGTTTAGGGTTAACTAACATAAGGTTTAAGGTTTAGCTAATCCTATTGGTTTTAGGGCTAACTAACATAGATTTTAGGCTTAGCTAATCCTATTGGTTTAGGGTTAACTAACTTAAGGTTTAGGTTAACTAATCCTATTGGTTTAAGGTTAACTAACCAAATGTTTAGGCTTAGCTAATCCTATTGATTAGAGTTAACTAGCCTAATGTTTAGGCTTAGTTAATCCTACGGATTAGAGTTAACTAATCTAAGTTTTATGTTAACTAATCTTAGTGGTTATGATCACTAATCCTAATGGTTTAGGTTAAGGCCGACCTAAGCTTAAGGTTTAGTTTAGGATGAACCTAACGTGTATGTTAAACTAAACTATAGTTCATGTTGACTAACCCCAAAATCCAATAAGTTTATTTTGAATTAGGTGATAGGATGACTTAAGTTTCAAATTTAAAATGGTCAAACTATTCAATTTGGACTCAGCTAAAGGTTAAGTCTTCTCAGGCTAGACTTGGTCTAAAGATTGGCTGACCTAAAGCCCTAAATGACTAAAATTGGACTTAATGGGTGATTAACTCAATTCTTATGCTGGTTGACTATCAAGTTGAACATGACCTAAAGAGAATTGGCTAGGTTGGACTTAGGTTGAGCTTGAGTTAGGTAAACTTAGCATAAATTAAACCTGAATCCTAATTAACGTGTTTTAATTATAAAAATTATTTTAAACATGATTTTAAAATTGTTAAACCTCTGTTAATAGTCAAACGTTCAATCAAAGAGAGTTTTACAATTTTTAATAATTTTAATAATTTTTTTAATTTACATAAATATGTCATTTCATTCAAAAATCAAAATACAAATATAGAGAAAATAAAATGTCTTGGAAAAATTAGAGAATCTTTCCCCAAGGCCATTTAATATTTTTGCCAAATTTCACATTTTTTCCATTTATATTTTAATTTTTATGATTTAAATACTCCAAAACTTCAAAAATTAATTTAAAAATATTTACTTTATGAAAAATTATGATTTTAGTTTTGAAAAATTCTCCTCCTTTTTTTGAGTTTATAACATCTTTCGGTTTTTTTTTTGAGTTTTCTTTAAAAGGTTACGTAATTTTGAAGTTTAATTACAATTTTTGAAATAAAATAATAAAAAAAAATTTCAGCATCTCCTCCCTCGGTCGCGCGACGCCCACGAAGCAGGACCCGACGCATGCATGAC